CGGTGCAGAAAGTGGCGCGAGTGAAGGCCCCGAACAAATCCCTGCCCTCGGCCGTGTACTGCATCGAGGACAAGATGTGAGTGTCACCTGTGTGTCACCTGTGTGTCACCTGTGTGTCACCAATGTCACCTGTGTCACCCCCACACACCTCCATCCCCCCCCATCCCTGCCCTCGGCCGTGTACTGCATCGAGGACAAGATGTGAGTGTCACCTGTGTCACCTGTGTGTCACCTGTGTGTCACCTGTGTCACCTGTGTGTCACCTGAGTGTCCCCTGTGTGTCACCTGAGTGTCCCCTGTGTGTCACCTGTGTCACCTGTGTGTCACCAATGTCCCCTCTGTCACCCCCCATCCCTGCCCTCGGCCGTGTACTGCATCGAGGGCAAGATGTGAGTGCCACAAATGTCACCTGTGCGTCACCTCTGTGTCACCCCCACAAACCTCCATCCCCCCCCATCCCTGCCCTTGGCCGTGTGCTGCATCGAGGACAAGATATGAGTGCCACAAATGTCACCTGTGTGTCACCTGTGTGTCACCTGTGTCACCTGTGTGTCACAAATGTCACCTGTGTGTCACCTCTGTGTCACCTGTGTCACCCCCACACACCTCCATCCCTCCCCATCCCTGCCCTCGGCCGTGTGCTGCATCGAGGACAAGATGTGAGTGTCACCTGTGTCCCCTGTGTGTCACCTGTGTGTCACCTCTGTGTCACCAATGTCCCCAAGGTCACCTGTGTGTCACCTCTGTGTCACCTGAGTGTCACCCCCACACACCTCCATCCCTCCCCATCCCTGCCCTCGGCCGTGTGCTGCATCGAGGACAAGATGTGAGTGCCACCTGTGTCACCTGTGTGTCACCTGTGTGTCAGCTGTGTGTCACCTGTGTGTCACCTGTGTCACCTGTATCACCTCAGTGTCTCCAATGTCCCCTGTGTCACCTCTGTCACCCCCCATCCCTGCCCTCGGCTGTGTGCTGTATCGAGGACAAGATGTGAGTGCCACCTGTGTCACCTGTGTGTCACCTCTGTGTCACCAATGTCACCTGTGTGTCACAAATGTCACCTGTGTGTCACATGTGTCACCTGTGTGTCACCTGTGTCACCCCCACACACCTCCATCCCCCCCATCCCTGCCCTCGGCCGTGTGCTGCATCGAGGACAAGATGTGAGTGCCACCTGTGTCACCTGTGTGTCACCTGTGTGTCACCTCTGTGTCACCTCTGTGTCACCTGTGTGTCACCAATGTCACCTGTGTGTCACCAATGTCCCCTGTGTCACCTCTGTCACCCCCCATCCCTGCCCTCGGCTGTGTGCTGCATCAAGGACAAGATGTGAGTGCCACAAATGTCACCTGTGTGTCACCAATGTCCCCAAGGTCACCTGTGTGTCACCTCAGTGTCACCTGTCTGTTAGCTGTGTCACCTGTGTGTCACCTGTGTATCACCTCAGTGTCACCTGTGTGTCACCTCTGTGATCCCTTCTGTTGCCTCCTCTGTCACCCAGAGCCTCCCAATGTCCCCAGTGTGTCCCCAAGGTGTCCTCAATGTCCCCAATGTCCCCAATGTGTCCCCAGGGCCATCGATGACAAGTACAGCCACCGGGAGGAGTTCCCAGGGCTGTCCCCATTGTCCCCAATGTGTCCCCAATGTGTCCCCAGGGCCATCGATGACAAGTACAGCCGGCGGGAGGAGTTCCCAATGGTGTCCCCAATGTCCCCAATGATGTCCCCAATGTGTCCCCAATGTCCCCATGTCCCCAGGGCCATCGATGACAAGTACAGCCGGCGGGAGGAGTTCCCA